GGAAGAATGGAAGAACACAAAGGAGAGAACCATTCGATAAAGAATATAAGAAAACATAGAATACATGAAGCAGATTCAAAGAGATTACCAGGAAATTAAAAACTCCATTGAAATCTGGCAAAACTGCTTGAAAGAAACTAAGAATAGATTATCCAAACCAGAGGACAGGTTTGCAATGTGGGATTATGAAAGGAAAAACATTTTAAAAATAACAAGGAAACAAGGAGTAACAATACAAAGGTTAGAAGATGACAAGAGGATCTATAACTTGAGAATAAAGAATGTGAATGAAGAAGCAGGGGTACAAACAAAGGAACTACAAAGACTATTCACAGAAATAATTAAGGCAAACCTCCCAAACATAGGAAAAGGAAATGATATTCAGATGTATGAGGCATATCCAGCCACCTACAACCAAAACAGAGTCACACCCAGGCATATAATAATCAAGATCCCAGAAATTCAATAAAAGAACAGAATATTAAAAGGTGTTAGAGATAAGAAACAGATCACCTATGAAGAAAGGCTCATCAGAATTACAGCAGTTTTCTCGACACACACCATCAAGTGAAGAAGAACTTGGAGTGAAATATTCCAAGCTCCAAAAGAAAATAACCTCCAACCCAGATTGATATACCCTGGAAAACTGTCTCTAGAAGTTAATGGAGAAACAAGATGCTTCCAAGACAAAGAGGAACTGGGGAAATTTGGGACCACAAATCCAACTCTAAAGAGAATACCGCAGGGCATTCTAGAGAGAGAGAAAAGGACTAGGATTCCAGGAACAGTGGCAGAGAGGCCTCAATGAATGGAGCAGAAAACAGAATGAAGAAGATAAGCAGACAACTGACGGCAAACAAAGAGCACAACAGAAATGAGGCAGAGAAGGTTGGTTATAATCTCTAATATAGATGGCCTTGATACACTAAATTAAAAAAGAAGAGAATCACAGGTAGAGTAGATCAGGTAGGGTCCACTGAGATGCTCTTTATAGGAAATATAGTTAACCTGAAAAAGGGTATATGGACTGAAAATCAAATATGGGAAAATAATGCTCTATGGGACAGGGAGCCAGAGAGTAATAGGGGCATCTAGACCAGTCTTTGTGGATAAGTTGGAAAGACAGGCTTTAATAGGTAAAGGAATATAATTAGAGATCAAGTCCAGGAGGGAGAAGTTTTGAAACCACTTAGGTAAAAACCAGGCTGTCCCCCCCTCAATTTAAAACTGAGGGTCTATATGAGACTCAAAAATAAACAGTGTGCCCTGGGAAAGTGAAAGGGGAGGAATGGTCTTTAAAAAGACGGCAGAAGATATCGTTAATAGTGTATCAAGAATTAAAACCCATATTACTCACATTACTCTGCTTAGATAGATTTTATTCTGTCCCAGTTTGTCCACTTGCAAAGGGCACAGACAGCTATTCAAAAAACGCCAGGATATGGTACAGTAATCATTTTTAATTTCCTATTAACTTAATTTGGAGCCCTGTATGACTTATACTGGTTTATCATGACTGATCTTAACTAAATCTGGTTTGATTGCTGTTTTGTACTTACAAATTTTACTCAAAATTGAAATGATTGATAGTATCCAGTCAGAGAGTTTAGGCAATTACACTGAAGATGACAAGTCTCACTACGATACCCATTTTGGCTTGATTACTACCTGTTTTTGAAGTTTTATACTACATATAAAATTGTGTTTTTATTAATACTCTTATGTACTGATATATATTCAATTATCCTATGTCTGTTGATATAGCCAACTCTATTGAAGATAACAATAGACAACACAGTAACCACGGTAGAACCCCTTGTACAGTGGCCTTATATGTCTTTTTCATTTCATGTGTTTATAGGAATGTGTTTTGTTTTGTCTTGCTTTGTTTTGTTCCTCCCTCTAATATAGAAAGGATAGAAATATATGTTAAGACTCATGCATGCATAGAACCTATAAACAGTTTATGAGAACTGATCTTATGGCACAAGATGAAATGAACAAATACTTTGAAGAAAAAGAGACACTAAAGTACCCAGTGCTGATCCAGGAGTGTCATAATGTGAAACCCAGAAAAACTGTTATTCTTTGCTCAGAGTGATTTTAGCCTGCTTGGGTTTTGTTCAATCTCAATATAAATGAAGATATGGATAACTGCATCTATAAGTGTATAGGATTGATAACCATATTACAAGTTTTTGTCAAACAGAACTGTGTGCAGTCTTGCTGTTTGAATCCCCACCTTATATGCTCCACTTTTGTATCTTGAATAACTATTTGTAAGAGGACAATATGTAAATATCAAAAAAAATCTTTAATGAAGTTGAAAGGGAAGAAATTCTCTGTACCTCAATCCTGTATGCAAGTCTTACCCTGATACCAAAACCAGAGGAAGATCCAACCAAAAAACAGATCTACAGGGTAACCCCCCTAATTAATAGAGTAAAAAATTCTCTATAAAGTACTAGCAAACAATGTAGCAAATCATCAAAAAGATTATACACCATAACCAACTTAAAATCATCTCAGAAATGCATGAATGGCTCAATGCACACAAATCAATGTATCATATCAAAAAGACAGAAATCACATGATAATCTCAAAAAAGACAGAAAAAGATTTTGATAAAATCCAACACTTGTTCATGTAAAAACCCTAGAGAAAATCCTATTAGATAGTCTTTACCTTAATCTGATAAAACCGTTTATGATAAACCAATTGGCAGCATCACACTAAATGGACAAAAACTGAAAACTTTGCTCTAAAATCAGAAATAAGACAAAGATTTTCACTATCACCACTCCTATTCAATACAGTTATGGAAACATTAGCCAGAGCAAATAGACAAGAGAGATATTAAAAGGAATAAGGATACGAAAAGAAAAAGCTATCATCATTTGCAGATGATATGATTGTCTATATAGAAGAGCACAAAAACTCCATCAACAGAATTCTAGACTTAATAAGCAAATTTAGCAGTGTATCTGCGTACAAAACAACTCTCTAAAGTCAATAGCATTCCTGTACACAAACAAGAAACTCGATGAGAGAGAAATTAGGGAAATCACACCTTTCAAAATAACATCTGAAAAATGAAATACTTACAAATCAATCTAACAAAGGAAGTAAAAGATTTATACTTTGAAAATTACATAACTTTGGAAAAAGAAGCTGAAGAGGAATTCAGAAAATGAGAAGATACTCCTTGCTCATGGATAGGAAGAAAAACATAGTGAAAATAGCCATACTCCCAAAACTATTACACAGATTTAATGCAATACCAATCAAAATACCATTAACATACCTCACAGATCTAGAAAAAAATCCTAAAATTCATCTGCAACCATAAAAGAACCATGAGACCCAAAGGCAATCCTGGGCGGCAAAGGTGAGGCAGAAAGCATCACAATTCCTGATCTAAAATTGTACTACAAAGCTGCTATAACAAAATCAGAATAGTGCTGCAAATAATCAGACCTGAGGATCAGTGGAACAGAATAAGGGATACAGACACAGCTACAAACACTCTCAGCCGTTGAATCATTGACAAAGGGACCAAACACGTTCACTGGAAGAAAGACAGCCTTGTTAATAAGTGGTCCTGGGAAAACTGGATTTCCACACGTCAAAGACTTAAACTAGGTGCAGCCATATCTCCATGTACTAAAGTTAAAGTGGATCAAAGGTCTAAGTATTAAGACAGAAACACTAGACCTGCTGGAAGACAAGTAGGTAGAAATCTCGAGGACATAGCCGTAGGCAGAGAGTTCATAAGCAAAAACCAAACTGTACGGGAAATACTTTGAAGAGTCAACAAATGATACCTCACTTTTTAAAAGTTTTTGCATATCCAAAGAAATTGCCAACTGAGTGAAAGGAAAGCCTACAGATTGGGAAAAGATTTTTGCAAACTGTCACTGTAACAAAGGACTTTTATCTAGAACATATAAGGAATCGGAAAAAACATCTCATAAAGTCCCAGTCCAACAATGGGCATCTGAGATAAATACACAATTCTCAGATGAAAAAATAAAAATGACAAACAAATATGAAAAAAATTTCAAAATCACCGGTCATTAAAGAAATGCAAATTAAAACAACACTGAGATACCCTCTCACTCCAGACAGAACAGCTAACATTAATAAATCAAAGAATAGAATAACAAATTCTGGAGGGGCTGTAGGGAAAGAAAACCTTGTATATTGTTGGTAGGACTGTATACTGGTAAAATCACTGTGGAATCAGTGTGGAGATTTCTCAAAAACTTGGATTAGAGTTACTATTAGACCTAGCTATTCCATTTCTACTTTCCCAGAATTGAAAGCCTCAAACCAGAGTGAAATATGTGCACCCATATTTATAGCTGTGCAATTAGGATAGCTATATTTTTGAAACAACCCAAATGCTTATCAACTGAGGAACAGTAAAAATATGTGGTATTTTTATATAATGGAATACTATTCAGCTGTGAAAAAGGATCAACTCGTGATTTTAAAGGTAAATGGATGCAACAAGAAACCATTCTCATAAGTGAAATAAATCAGACTTATATGTATAAACACCATATTGTCTTGCTAGTATAAGCAACTGAAAGTAAATAAGATCCAAAAGTCACAATAGACATGATGAAAGGAAAAGAAACTGCTCAAAGGGAAATCATATTGTTTGAGCAATTTTACAACTGAATGACTATTTCACAAATGACAATATGCAATATAGTAACCATTGTTAAATTCCTGTCATCTTGTTTTGAAATCCCGTATCACTATACTTGCTGTTGTTGCTTGGCTTTTGTTATTGTTTGTTTACTTGATTGTTTTTTATTTTTCTGCATTTTTTCACTTTAAAATGAAATGAAAATCTCTCTTAAAGTATCACCATATGAAAATTTAAAATTTTAAAGGTCACAATTATGGTATTGTATAATTTATATTTTCTCTATTGTATGTTCATATAACAAAACTGCTTACTAGTAATAACATTTTCCAACCCAGTTCCATCCATTAATTTAGCACTTTATTTCTTCCAGAAACTTAATTATCTCCACATTCAAAGTTCATATAAGTATTTCCCACAACACAGAATATGAATGTGTGCTGTATCCATTATTGGTAGGAACCATCAGTGACACGGAGCCAAATGAATCTTATTGCTTCATATGAAGACTTTCACTTAAAGACATAGTGGATTTGTGATTCATAGAGAAAAAAAGTCACATTGCAAGCTAGAGACTCTACTAAAACCTTATTCTAATTCATGAATTATTACATGAAAATCCTGAGGAACTGAAAGAGTTGCCTAAGCTTTTCCCATTTTTGAAATGTTTAAAGCAGTTTTGATTAGTAGCTGTTGACACTTTTATGGATGTGTAGGATAGGCTACAAGGAATTAATTTCATTGTCTTTCTGTCAAGTACAGGTGACTTACGATTACTAAAGTTAATCTTTTCTGATTATGAAAATCTACTCTAGTAGGAAAAATGCAAAATTCAGAAAAGTAGACACAATTTATAAAAACATTAGAATAAATGCATAAGAACAGAATGTTTGGACATGAGTTTACAATTCCCCTGGGAGGATTTGTTCTAATACTATAAAATATCTTTGTGTGTATAAATATTTAAACCATTCTTTCATACTCAAATTACAGAGATCGTGTTTTTTTTATTTTTTAAAACTCTTCTTAAATTAATTTCCTAACCACAACTTCAAAACACAGGTGTAAGCTGAAACGATTTGCTTAACCCTACTATACTGATCACCTATCGAGATCTCTGTCTTCTCAGCTCTTGCAACCTGGGGAAACCCAGGTATTATTTCCTTACTATGCCTTCCCAAAATTGTCCCACTGCCTGACAGGTGAAGAGATTCTAAGAATCTTCTAAAGAAGGCAAATCACCTCAGCAAAGGAGTGTGTCCTGAGCTTACAAGCTGTTTTCTTTTTTCCTTCTCCCTGAATTTATTTTCAATTAAAATAAATTCTGTCCTTGAATATGTGTACATAACTCCTTGGTAAGGTTGTACTGTCCTGTCATTGGATATCAATATTGAAAGCCTTAAAGATTGTGCTTAAAATCTAATTCAAATTACCTTTGCGAGCATACCAAAAACCCCAGGTGGTGGTGCTAAAAACCGTAAGGAGAGTCTGCTTTTACTTTTTCAGCCAAATGGACATGTTTTATTCAAGATGCTGAAATAAAGCCTTTATTCAGTGTATCCACATTAGCTTGAGGGTCGGTTTTATTTTCCTGAATGTGAGGAGTCTTGGTGGTCCTAACGTGTCTGCTGCCCCCTGCTTTCACACCTCCACTGCCCTTTACCTGTTCACCAGTACGCCTCCATCCCTTCACCCTGGCTCCCTTCACTGCTGAGCTGTAAGGTGCCAGGAGCTCCAGCACCCTCTGAACACCAGGGGCTGCGTGATGCCCCTTCAGCACCTAAATTTTCTTCACAGGGTGAACTTATGCCCTGCCTTTCAGAGAATGGCACCTGTAGATACGCTGTCTCTCAGCATCAGAGCCCTCCATTGGAGCTTTCACCACAGATGGCATTTTACATCCGATGGAGTCACTTTTTACTGTCTGTCTCTATCATGGAGCAGTACTGAAGTCAGGGATCATTTTTCCCTTTATAACCTCAAGACCTTATATGCCTACTACAAACAAGGCACACACGTTTTGTCAACTTAGTAACAACAGATGAATGGCAGTCTAAACACATAAACACTGCCAGGCCACCGGAAGACGGAACATATCAGTAAGTACAGGTCATCCTTTCGTGAACTCTGTGACCCATTAGTACTTACAGCAGCTCAAATTCTTCTTTTTTTTTTATCTGTACCAGGGATCAAACTCATGACCACACACTTGCAAGGCAAGTGCTTATGCCACTGAGCTAAATCCCCAGGCCCCAAATTCTTGTTTATCTGTTTTCTAAGAGCCTAGTAAAATATTCTGGGGCACACACACACGCACACACACACACACACACACACACATATGAACACACACAAAGATAACAGTACTTTTAGGGTTAAAACTGCTGTCCCAACGAGGGACAAATCAAGTTTTTGTTTTTAATAACCCATTTTATTAAAAGTTCTTGAGAGCTAGACTACTTTGCATTGTGATTCTGCAGAAAAAGACTGAGTTAGGCAGAGTTAGATAGAGCCAAGACCCTGCAGGAAGCTGGTGAAAACATCAGGTCCACGCATTTGGACGACAGATTTCTGACATTTTATCTCATTTACCTTCTGGCAGTCTTCCAAGAGATGGTAAAACAAAAGAAAAAACTTTAAAATGTAATAGCTATCAGTGTAGGCTATCAATATGCATTTTATTTTTATTTTCTATTCTAATTTGTATAAATTTTTAAAAATAGAAGCATATTTTTAATCAGAAACCCTACTTTGCCCTGGCGTGGGCATCCTCTTCATTTCTTGGTTTTTCCAAATGTGATGTGGGAAATCATGCTGGCAAACACCACTCAGGAAGAAGAGACCAGTTACGGGAAGTGTGTAGCCCTGAGGGTCTCTAGTTCCGCTCCTCCTCTCCTGGTAAAATTCCATGTGATCCAGCACTTACTTTAACCAGGTGTCTGCATGGTGAACTTGCTCTCACATGAGTTTTTTAATTTGAGAAAACGGAAAGTATCTTTCAAAGAGAGGGAAGGCCTTTTATTCCCTCAACAAACCAACCTAGTGTTCGCCTTTGAAATTTTTATGCACACACACTCGAGTGTTCTGTTGTAAACCCAATGCTGAGTATAAGGATAAGCTTTGCTTTCACTAGGTAAAAAAATGGCTTTTAAACATAAAGAATATAAGTATAATACCTTTTTATTTCTCTGTCTCTCTCTCTCTCTCTCTCTCTGTCTGTCTCTCTTTCTCTCACACACACCAAAGACATACACACTATTTTTTTTCCCACCATTCCTCTTAACCCCAATAACACTCTACATTTTTATTCTTCCTCAGAGTTAGAGAACGCTGTTCCTCTCAAAACTTCCAAACAGTTTACTAATAGTAAAACTCCAGTTAAGTCTCTCCACTGTTTGGTCACCGGATTCTTCATTCTGTCCAAAGCTGATTGAAGGTCTTGTAACACATCTCTGTAGCTGTTTCCATACTGAGTGCTCCAAGTATAGAGAAAATCATAGGCAGGCTTCCACATTATCTATAAAGAAAAAAGAAATTAGACTGGAGCAATATGAAAGTAGAGTGCAGAGGAAGACAGATGTTGAACAAAAAGATTTAAAAGTCTCTGTAGATATAAAAGAAAATGAAATGTTCATTATATGTGAATTTATTTAATGTGGTTGAGAAGATTTATTTTATTTTATTTTATTTTATTTTGGAACCGGGGATCGAACTCATGACCTAGCAACTTGCCCGGCAGGCACTTATATCGCTGAGCTAAATCCCCACCCAAGAAGACATATAACACGTGTAAGTTTCTTGTTATACTTCTGTGTCTCTAAAACTAAAGATTTTAAAATAACAACTGCTAATATGGCCTGCATTGATTTATTCAACATCTGCACATTGCTCTTTGGATCAAAGCAAATATAAAATACTTGCATAGTATATTGACAATAACAAATGTTATTAAGATAAACTTTTAAGTCTCTGAAATATTTTTAAGAATAAAATAACTTTTTAAATATAATATGTATTTGTGGTAATTTTATGCTACTGCACATCATAATAAAGATCTATAAAGTATATTTCATACTTGTAATTCATTTTATTTAAGCAAGTACATAAACCAGGAAAAATATATCTTGATAATCAAGTCAAAATAAAAGCAATACATATATCTAATTCAGAAATTAAGGTTATATTTTATAACCTAAAAAAGATCAATATTAAATGTTTTTTCACTTTGTTTTCCCCAAGCACCTACCCATACCAATGACGTCACTGTTTCCATAGTAATAAATGTACGTCAGAGGAGAACTTCACACACCAGAGTGTATGTAATGGTAACCACGGCAACAGGCTCAGAGAGAATAGAGACAAAGCCAGACCAAATAAGAAAAGTGGAAAATACACATGCATGCACACACACATGCATACACGCACACGCAGAGTTTAAAATGAATTTTCTCTAAGAAAATAACAAAATTAACCATGTACTTATAATTGGAATATTTGGAATATAAACTTTATTGCTTACTATTTTCTGGGGCTCACTAAAGTAATTCAAGTGTGATTCAGTAATTTGCATAATGTAGCAAGACAAACTTTGAACTAAACAATACGAAGTATTGTCCTCTTATTGTAAAAACTAGATTAACAGTATTATCACATGAAATAGTGCCATAGGATATAATTTGTCACTGGCCTTCAATATCACCATATAGAAGACAATTAAAGTGAAACAGCTGAAGACCTAAATATGAGATTCCATTATGCCTTTGAACCACATAAAAGGCTCAAAGGATGAGCTGATGCTATTTGCCCCAAACTGTAAGCCTGAGGAATTATAATACCCATACCCTCACCTCTCCTGACAAAGCTCAATTCTGCAAAGAACAAAAGATAGCTATTAAAGTTGTATCGCTTTAAGATACATGATACAGCAAGATAAATCATCTGAGTTTTGTTTACAAGCTCTGCCTTCATTGACCATATTTATAAATGATTATATATGCCACCACAGAGAGAATCTATATGGGATGTCTCTCGTGTATTTTTCCACAGATTGACATTGAAAACAAATCCCACAAAGTACGGGCTATCACTAGTAGCTAAGCTGTAAAAGATAAATTCAGACATAGTAAAAACTTTTATTCAGAGGCAGTCTTGACTGTCACTGCTCAGATGCCAAGAAGAGCTAAATAGATTATTCTGTAGTGGATTTATCCTAACCGTAAAAGCACTGTGACTTACATTATACATTGAATTCATTCAAAAGTCCCTGATGCTCAACTAGCTGGAACATCATTTTTCAATTTGCCAAGTATTGTTCAAAATAATGGTATTTACAGTTAATGGCTTCTAAGACAGTTCAAAGTCCTTATTGATTGAACAACAAGAAATGTATTTAGAAATGTGGGAGAGCATTTCAGTAACAAGGTGATGGCAGAGATTAGCATAAAATATCACAGAAAACAGGTGTCTCTTAAGAATTGCAAATGGGTAATTTTAGGATTGTTCACTGCTCTGCAGATTCAGTACCTTTATAGTCAGAAGCAGTCAAAATGGCCTCACTGACTTTCCTAGGTGAAAAGCTCTGTGCCACATACATCCTGACACAGCACTGTGACTATGTATAGAAAAGCCCCAAGGCACACTTAATCATAAAGCAGCTTCCTGGTGATTCTGGGGGCAGGAAATATATCCAAGCGATGCATAAATTAGAAGCTACAGATTCTGGCGCGTTCCAGTGACACATCTTTTCATACACACACACAGTTATGCACATTGCTACACAACCCCATCACATTGGCCGATTTGTACTGATAGCAGAACAGTCAGCCAGCTCTTGCAGTCAGAGAAATACGATAGATTCCTGAGTCTCAGACCCTAAGAAAAATTTCCAAGAGTATAAAGAGATTTCCTAGGAGTCCTTTGGATTAGTTGGAAATGCAAGAGCTATTTCCCTATGCTCATTTGAGGTTTCCTGGAGTCTAAAACACAATCTGGCTAGAAATGGGTAGATTAGCTGTGGGATGAAAGGAGTATTTGGAAGGTGTGTAATTTTAAAAATCTGAGCATATTTGTGATGGTTTATGTCTAGTCCCCCCAAAGCCTCCTGAACTCACAGATGAGGCTTTTGAAAGGTGAGCAGATTATTCAAGTACTATAGCTGAACATGATGTTAGGAGGTTGGGTCTGGTCAGAAGACGCAGATCAAGGTGGTGTGAGCTGGATGGATTATCTCTCTTCCCACTTCTTCCCTGCATTACTTCACTCTGCTTCCTGGCCACCATGATGTGAGCAAGTTTTTCACCATGCCCATCTGCCCCGCAGCCCTGCCTTGACACAAGCTGACCAAACTGGCACCTCCACAAATTGAGAGCCAGAATAAACATTCCCTCCTTCTGAATGCAGGGTTGGATATTTTGTCTCTGTGATGAGGAGGAGACTAAAACAATACTTTGCCTATAGTTTTTATTTCTCATTCCAAGAAAGTAAACCTGCATGTCACTTCAGTGTAAAATTTGATCCACTATACATAAAGTCATCAACTCAGACAATAAAGAAATACCATCACCACACTAACACAATGAAAATACACAAAATACGTATCATTGGTTATTTTACACATTAAGACATTTTATCACCTACGAAGGAATTATGTCAGACCAAGTGATAAATGGAAAATTAGAGCATGCTTTTAGCAGCTTCCAGCAGAGAAATAAGGTAGGCACCTGCCAGACACAGGCCCAGGGTGTGAGTAGATAGGATTTGGAGATAACAGTGACAAAAAATCTAATAATGTACTTAGATTTTTAAAAATCATTTTGAGTAAAACAATGATTATCCTATTTAATCAGAGTTATGATACTATCATGCAAAAAAACACACATTTGGTCAGTTTTGTGTTCATATCTTGGTTCCACTGTGTATTGGATGGATCAATTTGAGTGAATCAAGTTTTCCTGAGCTTTGAACTTTTGAAAATAGAAATTTGGATAATAATCCCCTAGTCTACGTCTTTATGAGGGTATCTGATGAAATGGTTTGTGGAGAGTTTGAATTTCAAGAAAGAATGTCTAAGAACAGCTCACCCAGCGTCTTCACATCTATTCTACCAAGTCCCACTTTCAAGGATATCACATTGGGAGGCCAAAATCCATAGTATGGGTTTTACAACATGAAAATTAGCAAAATCTGCACACTAGAGCTTCCTCCAGACTTTTGAACAGCTGATTGTTAAACACTTACCACCATGCATACAAATGGTACCCATTTCCTGTTATATACCTCACTACTTATAACATCAAATGTGGAGATTAAAAAAATTATTAAAATGCTTAGAAAATCCAGTACTTTGGCAACTGAAACACGTTTGGTAACCTTGGAAAAGACAGTTTTAAGGGTCATGCAACACATGCAACAGATATGAGCAGAAGCAAAAGAGAAGTCAGAGGACAAAAGGCCACATTTAGAATCTGTCTATTAAAAAAGAGAGAGTCAGAAGAAGCATCAGCAGGAAATGAAGGTACTTGGAAAGAAAAATATTCTGTAAAAAGTGATATTCTACAATGGAAAACAGAATTTTGGTTTAAAAACCATCAGTCCTAGATGAAAGGTATATCACACACAAAGGACCTAAGAAGAAAATTATTGGGCAGAAACATAAACACCAAAGAAGGTTAAAATCATGACAGAACTGGGTAAGTAATTAGAAAGGTAAATAGCAAAAGAAATTGAGAAAGAGCAGAAGCATATTCCAATATTTATGTACTAGATGCACTGAACTATTAAATTTGAGAACCATGTTTTTCCTTAGTAATGGAATCTCTGCCAGGTGCAGTAAATATAAAGTTTTCTATAGTGATCTCTGCCTCAACAGAGCATGATAAAAGTTCAACTTTAATCAATGCAAAAACTAGTCTAATAAGTTAGTTTTTGTCCTCTATGATTAGATATATGACATTTGGATACAAGTTCTTAACTAGCTATGCTTTAATTCCCCAGCATTTATTTATCTTGTTTTTGTTTTCTTATGAAAGGCAAAATGCAAGAGTAATTAAATATATTAATTAATCACAGATACTGATATTTTGTCCAAATATACATACGGGGTAAGATCACAGAGAAATCTATACTTTTCAATAAATTACAAAGACTATAAAGTCACCACCTCTGGGAATGTTTGAAGAAAGAAAATGGGTAGAATAAATAATTTCCTTTCTGAATTGACCTAGGGAAAGTCCTCTAAAAACTAGAAATGTGTTACAGACTGCCAAGATTTCTTGTGGTTTGTGTTATCTTATAGCTATTCAGTGTTTTTAAAAGCACTTTCCTGCCTTTACTGAATATTATGATTACGGAGTATTAGTAACTTCACACTTACACTTGGGTGAATCAGAAGGAATGTATGTTCCTGAGAGTTTGTTTTGTAAATTATTCTTACCCACAAAACAAATTCTCCCACTCTCTCATCTGTATCACAAGTACTCAATGCATAAGCTACATTCTTTTGTCTCTATTCTTGACTTT